TACGTGTCTCTCAAATATCGCTTCATCCATGCAGAACTGGCCATTTTATAAATTCCTCATCTTCTTCTCTCTTATCATCTTCTCAAATCAAACTTAGACAGACGTTTTTTTCCCCCCGGAAAAATGGAATCTCAATTGCACCGCCAGCACGGGCATCATGGCTATGAGGAAGAACCTGGACATGTGGGGTTACGCTCTGGTTTGACTCTTGATTATGCTTATAAGCTATTAGCTTATAGTTTTTGCTTATTTTTTGAATAATTTATTTATCTGAGTTTGATTTGTTGTAGTTGTAGCGGGAGAAGGTGAAGGCGAGCACCATCCTGGAGAAAAGAAATCGGTTCTGAAGAAGGTGAAAGATAAGGCGAAGAAAATAAAAGACACGATTAAGAAGCACGGACATGGTCACGAGCATGGACATGGACAAAGTTCTGAAGAGGAGGAAGAAGATAAAGACGAAGAAATGGTGGATGATCCTGAAGTCCATGATGCCCCAAGTATGTTCTCTAATTTTTGGTGATATGATTTTACTTATTTCTCCTACTTAGATTATTAATGAGCCTGATTACGTGCTAATATTGAATGTGTGTTCTAGTGTATGAATCATCAGCCATTAGGATTACAGATCTTGGACAAGGGATCAGTCCAGGGCAAACTGGTGTCAATTTGGAAAAACCGACTGATACACGTGAGGATCGGTTTGATACAAATGTAAGGGATGAGGGAATAACCAGGCCTTCTGCCTCTGGTGGAATACGGGACAATTTGGGGATGACAACAGCCATGGAGACGGATGAGGCAATGAATAGTCCTTCTGCCCCGGGCGAAATGCAGAACGAGGCAATAAATAGGTCTTCTGTACCGGACGACATGGGGAGGGCAACTACCCGGACTTCCTTTGGTAAGGTTGATGATTCCCCTGTTATGGGGAGGGAAGAAGCAAATATGAGGGTTAAAATTGGACAGCCAGTAGGGTTGGAGGAGGATCCTCATTCTCCAAAGAACATTCCTGAAGCAATTCCACCTTCAAATTATCAGTCCAAAGTGGCTGATCCAACAGGCACTGGTAATACATTTCTCTAGTTTTGATATCTTTGTTTGTCTTGTGCTTATAAATTATAAGTAAATTCTTTCGTGGTTGATGTCATTTAGACAATGTTATAATTTTCATCCTTCATGTTTGTGTCCTAAGTTATCAGGATATAGGACTAGAATAAACTAGTGATTCTTGGCAGAGCCAATTACTGATTCGATGCCTAAAACAGGGGGTAAGGAAGCAGATGTTGGTCCACTTGTTCATCAATTCGACAAGATGAATGTTCAAGACCAAACCGGCCCGAAATCAAAATCAGAATCAGAACAGAGATTGTATACAGGGAGCCATAACCAGTTTGCTCCTCAGACAACACCAACCACAGACCAATTTACTCCACAATCCAATACAATTAGAACCGAAACAGGTTCAGAGAATCCTGAATCAACTCTGGAAAGGTTAGATCCTAGCAAAAAGGAGGACTCACAGCCTGACACTTTGACTGGAAAATTATCATATGCAACCTCTGCAATTGCTGATAAGGCCATTTCTGCCAAGAATGTGGTAGTTTCAAAGCTTGGATACGGTGGACATGAGGAAGGCGGACATGAAGAAAGCCGTGATTCTCAGAAGCCCGTATCAGAACCCACAAAGCCCGTATCTGAAACAGCATCAGAATATGCGCATAGTGTAGCAGCGACCATGACAGAGAAATTGGCACCGGTTTATCACAAAGTGGCGGATGCTTCCAGCACAGTAATATCAAAAGTTCAGGGCAGTGGTATTCAGGATGAAGGCGGAGAGAGAGCAGCCCACCTAGGGAATGAGGGTGCGGCCACTAAAGGAACTGATAAGGGCCTTTCTGTCAAGGACTACTTGGCAGAGAAATTTAGGCCTGGTGATGAAGATAAGGCATTGTCAGAGGCTATATCGAGTGCACTCCATAAGAAGAAGGGTGAAACTGGGAAGTCAGGGGAGGAGAAGCCAATAGAGAAAGTGACTGAATCGGAGCAACTGGCGAGGCGTTTAGGCACTGGTACTGAAAATAAAAGAGAGGGCGAAGATGCACTGAGTGCTGGGAATGAAAGCAGAGGAACAGGCATGGTGGATAAGATTAAAGATGCTGTTGGTTCTTGGCTTGGCAAAAGTGAGGGAATGAGAACTGCTAAGGATTCACTTGGCCAATCCCATGGTAAGTAAATCATTAACAAAGGATCACAAAATATTGTCGAGTACCATACATTAATGTGCTGATTTTGTTTGCGTGTGTGGTGTAGTGAGTGATACAAGTTCGGCTCCAACTCAAGGCAATGAGCACCGCCAGGAAGTTTCAGGGCACCGGTAGTTGCAGGGATCGAGCAACTGATTCTGAAAGGCTTATATGCGTGTAATTTGGAAGTTGAAGTTCTTCTTGGTTCTATACTTTGTTCGTCTTGACTTTCTGTACATATAAATGTTCTTTGTTTGCTTCAATAAGAAGTGTAGTTAACCGTTAACGTTTTTGAAACGTTGGCATGTAATATACAGGTTAGATAATATGCGAACTCTTCACAGATTCGTATTGTTATATTCAAATGTCTTGTTATCTTTTATCGTGAAGAGTTGAAATATATTTCTTTTAATTTTATAGTGCTTTAACTAATGATTAAAGCCTAATATTGGTGAACGTTTAGTAATTAATNGAATGGTGATTGATGTTGAAATGTGTGGTTAAAAAAAAGGAAAAGTTTTTGATTTACGTGTAATATGTTTTTAATGAAGTGTGGTTGAAAATGAGTACTATAGAAAAATAATGGAAAAGAATGGAAGAAAATGGATGACAAACAGGGGCTAACTTCATACAATTAGACAGAGGAAAAACACAATATACCTCTTCTGCCGAAGTGAAATTACCTTGTAAACATGTCCAAATCCTCCTTCTCCGAGTTTATTCTCATCCGAGAAGTTGTTTGTAGCCACTGCCACACACGAAAAGTTGAACAACGCTAACTCAGTTCCAGTTTCTGGTGGCCCTTCAACACTAACGTCGCCAGGTCCTGAAAATTCGCTGGAAAATTCCACACTTGGACCGAGTTTTGGCATTTCATTTTTCCTCTTGGTTAAACGGTCTATACTTAAAATTGAGTGTTAGAAGTGTACATCTCTATTATAAAGTTTTAAGTCTGTATTAATTATACAGCAGAATTTTACCTCTGAATTTCATTTTGCGCCTGCAGAGCCAGATTGAAGCAGTTAGAGAAAAGATTCCCACCAAAACAACTGCTATAATAACAATTTTCATCGCATTACTGTTGCCACCTGTTTTGAGATAAAATCATGAACGAAAGAAGCACTTATCAATTCCTCAAAAAATGCGAAGGACAAGAAATTCATGAAGGCGAGGTAACAGACGGAGAGGCTCTACTTGTCGTAATAAAGAAACTCGAAATCAAGACTCGAGAAAACATTTATACAAGCCAAGTATGAAAGATTAATGAAATAGGCCAGTTGCCACAATTAAGTTAATCCAAAGGCAAATCTAATGTAGACATTTACAGTGAAATTCTTCAAGTTAAGATAGGGGGAATGCTATCAGAAATTCAGGAAATTGGGAAACTATTATTACATATATACTATTTGTATTCATAATAGCAACAAAATCTCTATAACACTATTAGTCGACATAGATAATATTCGATATGATGGGCTGGATAAGATAGGACGTTGAATGCGTCAAATTTTATCATACCTAATTCAGAACGGTCAAGACGAACGAACAGAGTGCTCCCGCCTTCATCAAATTGTTCGAGGTCGACCAATTCCCGACTCCAAATCATGCAGTTTATGCCACTAACAAAAGCATATGCAGTGCAAGAACAATTCTCCAAACACTTATTTTCACACTCCTCAACATCTTCTGGTCCCACATAATCTACAAAATCAGGCAATTTCACTTGTTCAGCATTGAAAAAACCATCTCTTTTCACCTCAGGTAAACACTCCAAATTTTTCCTCCTTGTGCATCCACCAGACCAATTCCCTCTAGTCCATTGATCCAAATCTTGGGGCACAAACCCTTCAATACAACTACAAACTGGCCTACTCTTGATATCACATTTTCCAAAAGGCCCACATTTGTTATATTGATCACATTCATTATCAACAGGGTGCGATTGTATCAAATCCCATTTTTCGAGTCCTTTGTTCCATCTTTCTTGCCTTTCGAATCCATCCCATCGAATCCAAAACTTGATCAAATCAGTACTATTCGAGGGAGTATATGTGAAGTACAACTTTCCATCAGCGTCATTGTTTAGCTTAAATCCATACAAATATATCGCCCTCATCCCTGGAACACCAATAAATATTAGGCCATTCCAATGCCCACTTCTCCATTTTCGACTCGTCCCTTCCCATATCACGACCTGAGGCGATCCACGAGGATCAACGCCTAACGAGTACTTTCCAACACTTGGATCACTAGCACTTCTCCAGGAAGTGAAAACGTGCCTCTCCCCTTCACTGACATTCATGTAAACTCGCATATCGGGTAAAAATGTATCTGTTGGATGATCAAAACTCTTCCATAAAGCCTTATTTGGATCACCACTCCCATGACTCTCAAGCAGAACAAGATCACCAGTATCCATTAAAACAACAGAGGAATTATCTGATGCAATTTTGCAATTGGTGGACCAGATCACATCAGCATTTCCATCCAATATGATCAAATTCCCATCATTCCCAATTCTTAAGTCTCCACCGTTGCCACTGATGGGGTTTGCTCTATTTCCCACCCAAACCAATGATTGATATTCAACATCATTGTACCAGATTCCAACATACCTAAGATCAGAATCCTTAGGACTAAAGAATCCCAGTACAAATCTTTCTTCCTTTGATATAATTTCTTCTCCGTCTCTTACAGATTGGCCTCTTGTAATTCGATTTTCAGCAGAAACAAATACAGAAAATATACAAAAATTAATCAAGAAATAAATGAAGAGATTACTGTAAATTTTGGAATCCGAGGCCATTTCAGAACTTGAAAATTTCTAGACATTCAAGAATGGATATTTTTCCAGTGGGTTTGAAAAGAGGTGTTTTGTGGCCGCCGTTTGAAGATTTGGGTGATTTTAATACAAAGTTGAGAAGATTGAATTGACTTCAAAGTACTCTTTTTTTGAAGATTCTTGGTTGACCTACGCACTGAGAGATTCTGACAATTCGTCTGCAGCTTTGATATACTCTCTCTCACACACAAACATAAATATATAAGAAAGAGAGAGATTAACCTTCATAAGAAAAAGAGAGATTACTTCATTTTGGCTCAAGCGCACAAAATAAAACTATGAAATTTGGTAAATTTGCAAAGAAAGTTGATTCTGACACTTCGTCTACGGCTTTGACAACGTGTTCGGAGACAAACATGCGGTCATATTCAGCGTGATAATGGCAACCGTGGTCCTCAATCTATATCTCTAGTAAAAAGTTGGTCCCCAATCATTACAATAAAGTGAATTATAGTTAAACATTATTCCGCCAGTTTCATAAACCGTGTCCATCAAAACATTACATTTTCTCTTTCGTGTTACTCAACTTTATTAATCTAATAAGATTCAATCCTCTGTAGTCGATGTATATCTTCATAGATATGCATTTTCTTTTTAATAAATAAGACTGATGTTCATGTTCCTATAATGAAATGATAGGTCGGATGAAACATTTCTATAATAGCTATTGGAGTAAGACTTTTAGCCCTTGAAGTTCCATTTGAACCATTGAACAGGGAGCCTTTGAGACTAGAGCGGAACCACCAGGGATGAGGTCGATAGTAAACTCGACCTCTCTTGCAGGTATAATTCCATGAAGATCTTCAATACAATCTCACTTGTCAATACATTATCGAAAGATAATAGAATAAAAAATTATTTCTATAAAATGTAATTGGGACACGGAGCTAAAATCCTAAGAAAAGTTTTGGTTATAACTCGAAATAAATCATGCCTTGGCAAGTAACAGCGATACGAGCCGATTATCATTACTATAATATCAAGTAAAAGTGGAATAAACATACACAGATGAGACATCTTAAGAGACTAGTAAACTTACTTGACCTTTATTCCTATTCGATTTGGCACTTGCAATCTATTTCTTTGTTCAAATTTTTGACAATATAAAAGTTCACTAATATGAAAAGAAAAAAGGGGAAAAAAAGTGTTGAAAAATAAGGGGTTGGAGAAGAAACAACAACAAAATTATGGAAACAAAATGAATAGAAATCGCGAAATACGTCAAAAATAAATTTGAGGTTTGAACACGGGATCGTTGTCCTTAAACTATATTTGCCCCCTCTCCAGATGCTTAAGGGTGTTATGGCAAATGGTTTGAAGGATTTTAACAAGCATTGATGCAGAAAATAACAAAGCACGAGAAATTTTTCACCAAAACTTGATGAACACAATAAAGAAGAAAATGAATATGAGTTATAGCATGGATTTGATTAATTGTGGAACAATGTATGTATTTCTTGTTTGTAATATTGTTTGTATTGATCATTTATCACCTATTTATAGACCTAAATCAATACATCACAAAATGGTGCCAAAACAAGATGAAAAGTGACAACTTTTAATCTAAAACGACTCCCAAGTTTCAAATTGAAAAATCAGCCAACGAATATTTTTTAACACTATGCGTACGCATAGTATAAATTTGTGTGTATGCATAGTAGAACCAAAATCAATTCTGATTTTGAAAAAGCACATCTCGCGTACGCACAAAAATAAGCATGTGCGTACGCATAGGTAAAAATCAAAATTTTCATTTTTCAATTTATTTTGATTCTACTAATTTCACAATTGAGTCCAACAATTAGTCCATTATCATTTCATTGATTTTGAACAAATATTCAACAAAAAGTTGTGCCCTCCCTCATCCATCGAATTCCGCATGGATTTGGAAATCTTCAATTCTGTAGGTCCTTCCCCGTCAACAGTTAAAGGTTCTTATTGGACTTAAAACTCCATTTTATTAATCGATGGGAAGGATAAAAACATCTCGTCTCTAAAAAAAAATTTCCCCCCACTGCAATGCCTACAAAATGTACAACTGAGCTCGGTCCACAGAGACAAAATGTAGTTCATCTTGGAAGATGGCACAGAATTTGATCTTTCTTTTTTTTTTTTCTTTTGTTTTTTTCCATGTTATAGCTACAAGAACAAACGTATAACATTTAACATTTTTTTGGTAGAAAAATCGAGTAGAGATCCCTTTCATTAATGATTAAGTAGCTGTGTATATAGCTTTTTCCACAGAGGTCTTGGCGTCGGTTCCGTCCTCACATGGCGTCGGTCTCACGTAGGTCCCGATGCAATAAAAAATGAAGAAAAAAATTTCGATCCCACCCCACATGGCGTCGGTCTCACGTAGGTCCCGATGCAATAAAAAATGAAGAAAAAAATTTCGATCCCATCCCTTTGTGAGAACCCTGTAAGGGTTCTGTAATGTACTGGGCAGCACTGCCCTATACTTTATGGCGGTGACAATCATTATAGATATACTTTATGGCGGTGACAGATGAGGTGATTGGTTCCGAAAAACGTGTTTTTTGGCAAATTATTTGATAGATTAGGGGATGCGTCCAAATAAAGAGCGCAATTAGAAAAGGCATTTGGCATGTTTTAGATAAATTAAGACATGGTGTTAGTAACAAGATGATTTGAGAGAAGCAGCAACATGAAGGTAAAATGGTGAATAGGCAATTCGGAGTTGTATTAAAAATGACTCATTGCAAGACGGGGACAATATTTCCCATACCATTCGGGTAGGTCTGGGGTGAGAAATTTTTTGAAATCGTGACCCAAGGTTAGAAGCAATGCGGTTTATTTCTCTCTTAGTCTTGGTTGGTGAATAATCAGATTTCAAGTTAAATGAAATCATTAGCATAAATTAATGCTATTTTGGATGAATGAAAAGGGCATTAATTCAAATTCTGAATTTGAATTGAGAGATATATGGAGGGATCAAGAATTCTACTATTTTTAAGACGCTATAAATATTTCAATATAAACTATTCTCATTAAAAAAAAATTGCATTCAATACTCGTACCAACTCATTTATTATTATTATTATTTTTTTTTTTTTGTGATGAAATTGATTATTTTCAATCTTCATGCCAATTTATTGAATTTTTTTATTTTTTATTTATCGCGACCTTAAGGCAATGCTACTTTCGTCTCTTAATCTTTGTTGGTGAATAATCAAATTTCAATTGAAATGAAAACTTTAGCATAAATCAATGCTTAAAAAATTATTATCATGATTCGTGCCAATCAATTAACTATTGATTTTGCCTGAATGGATCGAGCAGCCAAAACTCCCAACAGAATTCTTGAATAAATAAAGAATTTCAACAATTACTAGCACCGTGAGCTCTAATGTTTTTTAAAACTACAAAGCTGAAAATCATTTAAGTATGCAAGACTTTGTATTGAGCTCGACTTGATAAATATGATAAGAGAAGTATGCAAGATCAAGCGTGGAGATGAAACGGCGAGAAAACTATGTGCAAAATTTTGATGGGTTAATAATATCCAACGTTTGGGTTTTGGAAACAATCTTGTGTGTGCAGGTGACACTTCTATGATTATTAATGTCATCTCAGTGATCTCACCAAGGTTGTTGACCACATAAGCAACACCATTAGACACATCAACAAAATTATTAAATGTACTAACATATACGTAAAAAGTTGGTTTATTGAAATAACTATATAAGTTTGGTAACCATTTGTGATAAAAGAGTTCGGTGATTAAATTTTAAACAAACACTTTCAACGATCGATCAAATATTTTGACTCAAGAAGCACCAGTAGAATTTATAGTTTTTCTTTTTCATTTTTTGTAAATTTGAAATTTTATACAATTTATTCCTAGGCGAAGTCAGTTTCTTCTTCCATGCTAATGTTAGGCATACTAAAAAAGTTAACTTATAATTGAATAATAAGTTTTTAATATTTAATATTTCTTGATAAAAATTTCAATTGCCTGAAAGGAAATAAATCTTGCCTTCTTTTGGAAAGTGTTCCTAGTTGTACAAGGAAATAAAACTTGCCTTTTCCTATTACAAATAATTTCTTTTCTGTCAGCGAACACACACACACACACACATCGCCTGCTCTAAAATTTGTGTTCAATTCAAGTGAGAGATTGAGAGAGAATGATGGATGTCCCAGTTGACGTGTTAAGGGAGATATTAGTTCGATTGCCTCCAAAATCTGTGTTTAAATTCGTGTGTCTCAACGAGATGGAGCAAAACCATTCAAGATTCTTCCTTTCTTCGTGCTATGGTGGAGAAAGAAAAGGGTCTCTTGATCAATTATTGGGTTTCATACTGCATGCAGATAAGTACTCATAATATACAAATCCCCGTCCTCGTTCAAAACCTCAAATTAAAGTCCTACCTCAACAAGTGGGTATCTCTGCCGCGACCTTACAATCATTGTAAGGATGTACCCATGGGATTGGTATGTTAGATATTTATATACTAAATATAACATGTGAAAGAAATAACTAATTTAGATGAAGTGCAAAAGTGTTGGAAAGTGTAGAATTTGTGTGGGATGTCGAGTGTTCGGGTCACAATCACACAATAATATAAAAGTTTTTGATTGGAACCTTGGGCTTCTTTTATTAAAATAAATTTTTTATTTATTTTAACCATTTTCGAAATTATTTAACCGGTCAAAGTAGCCAGTACAATATGACCGTTTTTAACAACCCACTTTCCAAAACACATTATCCACATCCCAATATAATAGCAAATCTTTTTGGATCATGGTGGAGGATGTTACATCCAGTGTACTTATATAAACTCACATTTCGTTTTGGCAGAATATATATCAAAAAATGAAATAATCAGAAACGAAATTATAATTTTCTGAAATTTTTATACTAGAGTTTTACATATTTTTCTGGAGTACACTTGAGAGTTCTAAGAAACTATTCGTGATTGCTGTACAAGTGGTTTGTGATCGTTGTATCCTGTTGTACAAGAGGTCGCAGCAGTTATCAACGGGCAATTTCGCTTTAAGATATCGTGCTGTCACAAGACTCGATCAGTCGATAAATTTTATTTCTGCATTTTACTGATCAGCAAGTTACTGCAACTAGTTATTTTTCCAATAATGCGAAGAAAATACAGTTCAATTGGTGGCAAATTACAAAGTTGTGAGAGTTGGCATGCCTACTATGCAATTGGACAACAAAATAACCATCGAAACTTATTCCTCCACCACAAGGAAAT